TATATAATGTGTCTGCTCTGCATATAATCTGCTCTTTGGGGAATTAGCTAAGCTTAACTTAAGTAATTAATTTAATTAAGCTCCTAATTTTTTTGGGACTTGTATTACTCTCGTCGTACACGCAGCGCTAGTCTGAGACCTTATCTAACTCACACCCTGTGCCCTTCTTCCAAGTCTGCAGCCTGAAAAAAAAGTATACATCCAATCTCGAAATATCTAAAAATTGCTTATGATCTGAGATGATCCATATTTCATCAGCAATTTTGCAAATCAACCGAAGAAGCGCCACGCTCCCCCAAAGGAGAAACTGCCTTGTATATACGAACTGCGACTAGTCACATTTTATCGATTCCGAATTGATTTTAGGAAAAATAAATCTGGTGAACCCTCAATAGTTGTCGAGCAAATCGCAGAAAAACAACTAATTTGCGCAAATGAACATCACATTTTATCGGGAAAAGAAGCTCCTCTTGAAAAAAGTATACATCTAATCGGTATGTGCCGATTAAAGCTTCCACAATCTACTAAAAATCAACCCGCACTTTGACATATAAGCAAACACAAGCACAAAATTTTATTGTATCTAATCCCGCTTGTATGCTTCGCTTTGCGCTTGTTTTCCTGTTGACTTAATTCCTTTATGTTATCATTAACCTAACGTGAATTACAGTACACATTTAATTTTACCGTTGCAGCTACCCTGGTTCACCTAGCCCGTTACCTTGTTCGATGTGTCCTGATATAAATAATTTCTATTCAGGTTCGACTTAGCCAAACATAAAGTCTAAACCATTCGAGTTTACTTCTCCTGAGACAATTGCCCTATTTCAACCAACATTCAGGCAATGTTGATCTTCGAATTAGGCTTCCAATTAGGAAGTTATCCAATTAGCCTGCAGCGATATTTAACACAAGTTACATCCAACTATCGTTCAATTGCAAACCCGAAACTTTTATAGGCCTTTTTTCTCAGTCGTAAATCTTTCGAAACATCGTTAAATTGATTCTGAAACAACCACCAGCGTGCATTAATTGACTTAGTCAATTACTTATGTGCGTGATTCCGCTACCTTAATGTCGTTATTCTATCATCCTGTTGTATTCTTTGATTACCCTGCTAGAATGATTGTCCCAGTATCCTCGCTTTTGTTGGCAATTGATCTTTTAACCCACTGCACGCATCCTGCTGCTTGTGTAGTTTTGAAAAAAGTTGACATACAAACATTACGCAACCTGTATGTTTAAAATTAAACTACAGCCACTAACGGAGTGCCAGTCTGAAATCTTACCAAATTAAGGCCCCTAGCTCTTATACAATTAATTTCGTCCTAATCAAAACAATCTAATGTTCGAAAAAGAATATCCAAAGAAGTAAGAACCACATATGCCAATATTATATTTGTCAGCTATTTTGCATATAAGCCATATAGCACTACGCCAAAACTAATTGCACATCCAAATTATATGGACTGTGATGATTCATCAAAAAGAACATTCTTTTTTTCTAGCTATATTTTTTACTAAAATGAAATGCTAGTTAAGTTAATCGTTTTTTTATCAAAACATGTATATTCGGGTTTGCTGTTGTCGATAGCCCACATGCAGTTACATCGGCAGTTGCTGTCGGCTCCAAAATGAGCTCATGTGTACGATCCACAACGTATTTTAAAATCAGTTTAAGTAAGCTGTGTTGCCAATAATTCCGTTGACCAACATGGGTTTACCAAGTATACCCAATATATATAATGCATACACAATACAGCATTTGAGTTAGGATAAAACTACTACCTCTGGTGTCAGAAGACGGCCAGTTCTTTTCAAAACGAAGCAACAAACTCGCCATAGCGAACTACAGTGCGTCGTTTCCGGAGTTTTAGCAAAGGTCAGTTGTTGTCTTATCTCTACGCGAATAGACGAACTTCCAGTGGTTGAAGGTCGCCTAAGGCATTTCCATCTGATCGGTGAATGTTATCCTCAGTCTTGACACGGATTCGGAAAAACCTATTTTCTGGATTTCTACTAGGAAACTTGAAAGATCCTTAATAGGGTTTAGATTTGAAGGGCTAATAAAATCATTAAAGCAATCCAAAAAGACATGCATGATATACCTGGCTTTTTCATACAGCAGCTAATGGCCGTTTTGAGTAGGAGCATGCCCACTGCAACTACTTATTTTTTATAACCTTTTTTCTCCATTTGCATGCCTGGGGCTTTTCAGCCGATTTGAGTCCAACATTTTTGACACCTCAGCTTGTCATCGGCCCAAACTTATCAACTTCGCTTGACGCATGATAGCCATTGAAAAGTCTCTGGCGTCTTCAAACGGCAATACCTTAGAAAAATTACTAGTTAAGCTGCGATCGCGGTGCATAACGATATATTAAGTAGATTTTTAAGGAGAAGCGTGTGTAAAAAAATCTCCAAAAGTTATTCAAATACAGTCCTAGAAATATTCTCGTAAAAAATCGATTTTAGGTACCGGCGGACGCGATGAAGTGAGCGGTGAGCCCCTCTGGTTGATAGGCTTTTCATGTCTGTCAATGTTAAAGGCGGTGTATGCCACGGCGTTTTGCATTGATTTAAGTGTATTTAACTAATTCCCACACACCTACTGATCAGTGCTCAAAGTGTCCTAGTTAAATAGTTCTAGTCAATTAATCGTCACAGTATAGGTCGCGTTACAGAAAATTAATATTCCTCCCTTATGCGAAAAATGACTGAATTAACGAGATGTACAATTTATATGAGATCGAGAGTCAACACATAACTATTATTCTTATGAAACAGTTGCTTACTATCATCTCCTAACCCATCAATCAATCACGGAAATCTTCTGCCGCAACACAAAACTCCCGCAATGTGATCGGCATAAAGCTTGCATGATTTAAAACTGATCTGATGACCTTTATGTATATATTACGCTAATAATTAAATTCACTGAAACAAGTTCCGACACTTTAACGAATATGTGAAGATGCATGCATAAATAGCAGTGTGATGGCTGGACATGATCATGGTTTTCAACTATTTAGGCCATGGTATTCTTATCGAGTTGTTGGACCATTTAGAATTCTTTCATGATACTTTTTCGTGATTCTCGAATCGAGTTCTCCTATGTAACTATTTAATAATCCTGAGCTCTTTTTTAAAGCGTTAATCAGAATACTGTTCTGGGCCTTAATCTATTTCTTCGTTACGTTAAAATCTCCTATTTATAAGGAATGAAAAATAAACATTTCGCTTAGAAAATCACTACACGAATTAAAATAGGAAACACGGTCGTCGATAATCTAACTCTAACCACTAGCTCCTACCTGCCCGCTTTACTTGATGTTTTACGCCCTCTAAAATTTCTCTTCAGACAAGTAGCAGTTTTTTGTAAGCAACCTCGTTCTCCTCCTTCTTCTTGAATTACTTTTTCTCCATTAGAGGTACCCGGAACTGCATACAAATATGCAAAACACAAATCTCTATTTGTCTCTTTTGTTTCCCTTTGTCTAATCGTACGAGGATCCGGCAATAGCTGTTGAACAAGCTAACTCTTCTCAAAACTATGGACTGTTTGCCACCTGCAGAATTCCCCATGCCTCCTCTGTCTCTCTCCCTACCGTTCAGTGTGTACTCCTCCCAGTACCGCCCAAGTCAGTGCACTTTGCCTCTGCCTTTTGGCTTCCCGGTTAGGCGGCTCACCCCCGTGGCCTCGAGTCCGTTTATCCCCTACGTTTCCGCGCGTCGCTCACTCCTCTCGTTTCTGATTCCTTTTAGCAACTGCTACTTCAGGGCTGCAGCTGCCAACTTCTCGCAATCTCTTTCCTCAGTTTTCTTAAAGGTTTCGTCATTTTGTCTATTTAAGGGTTATCCTCTTATTTGATTTTCCCCATCTTACTATTATTTATTATTAGTGTACCTCTCAATAAAAGACCCTATTTAGGCCAGCAATAAATTAAAAAAAAAAAAAAAAAAGTATGTTCTGAATTGAATTCGAAAGTAGCTTTTTATTCGAATAGTATAATATTTAATTTCAGAATAAAAAACAAATTATTAGCTAATTCATTTTCATTAACAGATTCTGTTTCAAAACGTACCTACTCACATAGATATAAATGGAAAAACAACGTTGATACTAGTCCGGACTATTTTAGCTACCTTTAAAATACTAGCCAGGTAACTTGCTGTATCGCCATTACCTGGACAAGTAAAAGTGCGATTCGATCGTCCGCGTTCTCTGTATCTCCCATCAGTTGTGAGATAAATCGCTTGCGTCTGCTCAAAACGATAGAGAAAAACGCGCTGCC